CCGTCGCGATACCGATTCGTGAGTGTAGAGAGCTTCCGTCCACCGTATGTCATCGTAAACGGACGATCGGCGGATGGGCTGTTTCGCAGCCGCGCCTGGAACGACGTTAACGTCGATATTTTTCCCTGTAAACGACCACTCTGTTTCGCACTACGTCGTGTCGCGGGACCGAGAGACTTTCCAGGTACGACTGGCCGCGCGCCAGCAACGACAAAGTGGTTTTCTGTCGAAAGTAACGTGGTTCGACGCGTTTTCGGCGCCCCCTCCGACGATTTCCGAGAGCATGTGTTCCGGCGGCGTGTCGGACACACACGGTCCGTCGACGATTCGGAGATATCGCGACGATTTTTCTGGCCCTCGTGGGACTATGGATCAAGATATACGGTTCTTTGTTTTGTTTAGGAAATTTGTTTGGAAATTTGTTTAGGAAATTTTTTTTCTAATATTTGCAGTGTGTTTTAACATCTTCACGCCTGGTGTAGCAAATCTGTGGGACGGGCGGAGACTTGAAGCTTTGCAATTGAAGCTGTTTTGCTCGAGGATTTTTTCCAATTGTGAATTACAGAATATACGAAATTTTTTTAAATGAGTATATAAAAAATTAATTAAACTACCTTTAAAATAGGGAAAGGCAGCCGAATTTAGACCATTGCCTAGGTTGGACCAATACAGTAAATCCACGATAAGTGTTTAAAGGCTACTTGGCACTTAACATTAAATATTTCGTAAACTAATGGCCATATGCGACTGAAACAAATATCATTGGCTTCAGAATTCCAAGCTGTATCGCTGTGTTAAATCTCATTAAAAAATCAGCGTTACACCTGGAGACCTCTCCTTGTCAGTGCCGAGAGCATTCGAACACTCATTGAGGATTTACTGTAGTACATAAATAAAGTTACGTAATTCTAATCGAAATGGAGTGAATACTTGTAAGGCACCTGTAGAGGGTGCAAAGTATAGTTTAACCCTTGAATAACGAGCTGTGAAATATTTACGACTCTGCGGTCTCAGGGTCAGTTGGGACCCAAAATAATGTTACTCTTATATCTATGCCGAAAAGAATTCTCAAGTTGTATTTTTCATTGATGCCATGTAAATGAATAGATGTCTTAACTTTTTGTCAAGCAATCAATGCTAAATTAATTTTCGAAAATTATTTTGTTCTAAAAAGTGGGAGCGTATATAGAATGATATAAAGTACAAAATATATATAAATTGTGAAAATATATAAAAATGTAACTTGTCATGTCTAAACAATTTGTGTTGTATGATATAAAATATGTTTATGATAAGTGGTGATTGCATTAACAAACTTATATACAAGCAACACGTATTATCTATCATACTGTGCAAATTGCTTGCACATAACAAGTTACATGGACCCTTGACGAGGATAAAAATGACAATTCGAGAAAATTTTAATTATTCTTATCTTCACAGCCATTATTCGGTAAAACAATTAATGCCACAAATTCAGTAGAGTAGCCGTTAAAACAATAACGTGCGTCAACGCAAACAAACGACGAACCTAAACATTTCTCATAAGAGACGAACCTTTTCACCGCTTCAATCCCAAAGACCTTAATTATCCTAACTGCAGCACAATTCTCGAACGTAATTGCCTCTTAAAAAATCCATTTGTCTCGTCACTGACGCAAGAAGTAACCAGTTTCCCCGTCGAAAATCCTCAGGAACCGAAGCTCCCGGAACGCCAACAACGGTCCTCACCCTCCCCGCGTCCTTCGTAGGTCGCAGCGATCATGCGCGTTGGAAAGCGTCTCGCCCCGTTCACGCAGGGGAACGCAACGTCCAATTTTAATCCCGGAATTACTTCCATTTTATTCCAATTTTCTTGCATTTAAACCGTCTAAGCAAGTTTACCGTCGCAATATCATTGTCGAGTAGCGTCGCGCGCGAGCGGACCGAAGCGTCGTCGTCCACCAGGGGAAGAAGAAAGCTCGACGATCGAAACATGGAAGAAACTTGGGAGGATGGGGAGGGGGTATGGAGACGGGTCGGAGATGGAGAAGGTGGAAGTACCTACTCTAATAAATTTACGACGTAAAACGGTTAAGCCGTGTTAGCCCTGTTCTTTATATTTCCGCGCAAGAGAGAGAGAAAGAGCGAAGGAGAGGAGAGCCACCACCTTTTGCTGTTCGTGAAAAAAGGTGGGACAGAGAGGGACACGGTGGTGTTCTATACGCGACAGGCTGTCGTTGTGGGGAGAAGGACGAAGACAGAGAGAAAGAGAGATAACGGGGTAGGAAAGACGGGAAGAAGTGGATATATAAGAGATACGAAGGGAAATTCGCTTATTTTCCCATCATTTCGACGTGGCATCTTGTCCATGGCCTTTCCTCATCCACGCAGCCAGGAAAGAAAATTGCTTCTCGTCCTCGAGAGCGGAATATCGTCCTGATGAGCCCGGGAATACCTCGATATCCGTCCAACCCCCTACCACCCCCTCCTGTCTCACCGGAGTCATCCTTGGCTGGATGCCTCGTCGTTCCTACCCACGTTTTAAGCCGTTTTCTCTTTCGTTTCTCGTTCACTCGACGACGGGACATTCAATTTGTTCGTTATTTATTATTCGTACGCGGCACTACCGCCGCGCGGCGAGAAGTCTTCGGGGGTAGACGGTGGCGGAGGGTAGAGAGATGACGAGCCGAGGGAATTCAGGGAGTTAAACGGGAAATTATGGAGTGGATTACATAATAAAACGAACCAGAGAGAAACGTTATGGAGGAATGATGGGCGAGAAACGCGACAGGGGGATGGGACGTTACGGTTCGCTCGAAGACGGCGCGTTTCGTGCTGGCGGGCCGACGGAGGACGAGGGGGATATTCATTCCGACGGAAATCTTCCCGGGGAAATCCGATTCCGAGATCCGTGGATTCTCGCGAGTAATCGGATTGATTGATTCGTCGTGTCCTGTATCGCGGAACACAATGGTTGTCTATGCGATAAAAAATTCTGGTTTTCCGTGCAATGTACAAGGAGGGTTCAGAAGCCAATCAGTGTAAGTCAGTCTTTTATTGAAAAAGAAATATATATATATACATGTATTTTATAAATATAAATTATTCTTTATTTGTTAATAACAGTTTATAGTTTTTACAATGCATTTTCGAAACAATTATCTCTGTTAACTTACTTGTGACCGACACTGATTGGCTTCTGATCCTTCCATATGTATATTTGGACCCCAGAACCAGAGTGTATTAAGTCGCACTTACTAAATTTTAGAGAGCAAATTAAAGGCGTGAAAGCCTTGTGACTTTGGAACCCTTCGGCAATAATTCAACGAAAAACAATCGCTACCTTCGAACTATTGGATGTACTTGAGACAATTCTAGATATATAAAAATGGTGAACATTGCATTAAGTACTTTAAATGATGGACTTTAGACTATGACTCGGAGCAAGATATGGAGTGAATCTCATTTCTATCCTATTATATTAAAAACTAAACGACTTAGAACGAAATAATGTTTACCATCGGAAGCAGTGGAAAATTTGCCACAAGGAACACGTCAAATGTCGTTTTTCAAAAAAAGTCGACTTAATACAGTCTAGCTCTGGGGTCCAGATCAGTTTCTATCACGTTTTAGAGTCTGGATAAGACCAAATTCACAAACAGATGAATTTTCCTCGTAGGAAGGTAATTTCCCTTATTTCGGTCGAACTATAAACTGCAGAACCAACGATGCCGTCCCTTCTTCCGAATGGCACTCTCGATCCACATAAACTATTTTCTCCTGTAATTCAACGGTCGCGTCCTCCGACTTGTGAACCTTGAAAAAGAATATATGTATTTTTAAACCTATCCTCCGACCACTCTATTAGCCCCAAGCACTGTCAGAATAACAGCCGTCCGCGCGAACAGTGACTCCGCGATTTCGGCCACCGCCAAAAAAAGGATCCCTGCGATCGGAGGCGATCGCTACCATCGACGTATCCCTCAGCATTCTCTCCCTCTCTTCCACCCACACGACTACCTTCTACCGTCGTGCATTCGTCACGGACACACTCGATAGGGCCTATCGGCGTGTCTCCGCGGCGCTGAATAATTCATAAGCCGAGAAGCCAGCAGCCGATACTTATCGCGATAGACTTTAGCCGGCTGCCAACAGCAGCCATGTTACAATAAAGAAATCAGCATGGCCGACCGTCGTCCCTTTCATCCCTCCCGCGCCCGTCACCGGCTTCCTTGGGTCCACCTTGGAGCGCCGTCGCCGCCGTCACGTCGCTCACTTTCGATTTCGCCCCGTAGCAGCCTCGTTACCCTCTTGATGCCGAAGGGTGGCCCACCCCCCGCCTTCTCGCGCCGAGGCTGACTCTCCCTACGAGAAAGCTCCCTTCTTACCTCCTTTTCTTGCCCCCCTCGGAGCTGCTGCCAGCCAGGGGTGGACCGCCCCGCCCAGAAACATTTCTCCGCAACCCTCCTTTTCCGCGGTGCTTGGTAGCCGAGAGAGAAATTGAAGAAACGAACGGCAACGGGCAGGGAACAGGAATTGAAAGGAGATGGCGAACGATCAAACGACAGGGAAGAAGAGAGAGAACGTGAGGTGAGGGAGAGAGATACGAGATGTGACTGACGATACCTACAGGAGGAGAGAAAGTTGAAGATGAAAGAGATAGAGGACAAGGGAGGTTTGGCAGCCACTTTTCTCGCCCTTGCACAGCATCGCGCCAAGGGAACTCCATTTTCTAGCCACCACAGTTAGGGGTTGTCTTTCCACTTTCGAACGCCCGGTTAGATCCTCCCCCTGATTCGTCCGTTGTGTAGGAAAAATTCTTGCTGTGACTTCCTTCGCCGTGACTCCTCGAAGGTAATTTTGCCTCGAGCTGAATCATGATTCTGGGATTGGGTTTACGGGTTTCCCGCTTCGTTTCGTTTTGCCCCTTGCGACTTCTTTTGTCCTGAGAAACAGGAATGTATTAATAATATATATATAATTTAATAAAACGTTGTTTTGCATTCTTTTTGTTTCAGGTGTGGTTTCAGAACAGACGGGCAAAATGGCGCAGACAAGAGAAAATGGAAGCCGCGAGACTCGGGCTCAACGAATACCATCATGCTACCAATATGAGGTAATTTTTCCATGAGAACTGATCGAAACTGTATGCTTTTTTTTTTCTATTCGACTGTTTCTTGTTTATTAAGTTAATCGTAAATTGTTTAATCATCGTAGAAGTATGACAGGACCAGCTCTGGGCTTGCCAGGAGATCCTTGGCTCACTCCACCGGGATTATTAAGCGCTCTTCCCGGTTTCCTGGCTGCACCTCATTCGGGATATCCCAGTTATCTAACCTCCCCGAGACGACTGCCGTCGCCACCGAACGTCGCCGCCGTTGGAAACGCCGTGCCGGGTAAGCTTCATCCTTTAATAATGTTTCCACAGAATTGAAACGATACATCAAGTAACGTTGGAACCATAATGAAACCTCTAACGATCTGACGAACAGTGAACTAATTACATACTGAATTCGTCATTGTATAAAAGATCATTTAGAACGTCCTGTTACGTTACTTAACACTAGAACTGAACCAAAGCAGTCAAAATGACTGGTTACTGTACTCTTATAACGATGACCAGAATGTCAGAACGATACATTTTCTCAGATCTTTTACGACTTTTATTGTAACATCGCAGTGAAGATATAAATTAATTTACAAATATCGTATATTTTCAAAAGTTTGTCACGTTTATCGATTCGATAGAAATATGTATATATGCTTATCATCGGTAGTTTTAATGTTAAAGAGACCTACATTACGATCTGGACCTCCTTAACTAAACTATCTAAACAATACTGAGCCAAACCTAAATAAAACAGGCCATCTGAATATTTCGGCTGGTGATAAAAAGAGGGTTAATAACTCGAACGATTCGATTTAATTTCCAATTTAACTTCCAATGTTTCAATCAAATCATTTCGCAACGTCTCGCCGTTCTGATTCGGTAAACATTTCACTGCAGATCTCCTGTTTTATCTACAGGGAGCCTGACAGCAGGGATGACCAGTATAGGGAACGGCGGCCACGTTCCGACAGCGCCGCCGAGCCCTCCCGGTCACGATCCCCGCACGACCAGTATCCAGGCCCTCAGAATGCGGGCCAAGGAGCACGTCGAGAGCATCACCAAAGGATTGCAAATGGTCTGAAGTTTAACGTACAACCGACGATCGCTACAACCAACGTCCAGCCGCAGGGTGGCCACCATTTCAACACAGCGGGCGTGACGAGTTGAGCAAGACTACTCTACCTTCGATCCCACGAGGAGTGTGTCCAGTCATCGGTCGTATCAAACGAGCCACGTTCTCCCGCGTCCCTCTTTCCAGTTGGTGAACGACTCGAACTGACCGTTTCTATTCCAGTGGGACCGTTACGACATGGAAACGGGACAATTATCGCCTATACCAAAGGAACGATCAGTGAGAATCGAAAGATGGCCTAGCAACTGGTCCAAGTTATTCACCTGTTCGATCGGAAATAATCAAATTTCTCACGTCGTTCCTTGATGTTCCGAGGCCTCGATTTCAATCGTCCTTCCCTGTTGGATATAGTGGCGAAGCTGTAGTTCACGATAATAGTGCAATAAAGAGGTCACAGACGCGGAGACAATTTGTATCGTTGCGGGTGGAGAGAGTAGATTTTTAAGATCCAAAGACGTTCCGTTCAGCTCGAGTCGTCCGAGCTACGACGGATCCCCTAACTTCCTGAACCATACGCAGCTCAGTAAGTAATATATTGCATATAGTTTTAACGGAGTGTTCGAAGATTGTTGGTCCTCGCGCGACACTTAACGGGACTGGGACATTATTTCGCGTGTACGAGGGAACGTGAACACCGTCGATTGCATGGATGTGTTAAATTTGAAACGAACTGCGTTAGCTCGTGGCGGGTAAGACTCACAAAAGAGTAGTGAGTCTGTCAGGCACGAAAAAGTATATTTGTTTAGTGACAGTTCTAAGAGACTTCTGTGCTTTCGCGGAATGGTGAAGCGAAACGTAGTTAAAATCCTAAAATACACATGGTGTATAATTTTGTAAACAGAACCTGTTCGATGTTAGAGATTCTAGTGGATAATTCCGCCACCAGCTAACGCGTTAACCAATCGGATGTCGGAGACAATCGTGGGCGTGCGCACCGAATCACCGAAAAACGAAAACTCTGCGTCGTTCGAAAATTGAGATGACCTCGTTTTTAGAGTAACGCGATGTGTAAATTCGCCCACAGAGGCTGTGAATAATGTTCAGAACACGATGCTGGGGAACATATAAATCTTTCATCTGGAATCGAGCATACGTCGATGATCAGATCGAAAAATTGATTGAATTCTCGTTTCTGGGATCAGGTTAACCTATTTTCTCGCGACAGCGTTAACAAACCGATTCACGTTGCGACAGAAGACATTCATGAAAATTCGTGTCGATGGATTCGACGTCGAGTCCGTCACTGTGCATTCCCGACAGCTACAAATTAAACGGTTTAACGTGTTCTGGACACGATTCTGAGAGTCGAGCACTCGTCAACGGTCGAATAAGACGTCGAGGATTGGTCGATCGACTCGATCGATCGGTTTACACCGCGCGAGGATGTGTCCCGATGAAATTAATTGGGACAAAGGGTCAGTGGCCGGAGCGATCGGTTTCCACACACACACACACACACACCCGTACACTGGTCCTGTATCCGAAATACGATTAGCATAATTGTTTGATAATCATGTACCTCGGATAAGATCGATAGACGCGACAACTGAACGCCTCTGACGAACATTCGCGGATGTAACTTGTCTCCGATAATGATGAGAAACGAGGTACACTCCGATCGACGAGTAACGATCGCGTGAAATCGGTTTGCCCTCCGATCGACCGAGTAGAAGGGCCGTCAAGGTGTTCCGTTTCAACATGAACTCTTCCAGATGATTCGTTGGCTGGATTATAGTTCAGCCATCGGAGCTAGATCGAGCTGCGACCACGGTTAACGCGAGACTAGATAAAAAATATCTCTTGTAGCATATAGATTGAATGGCGCAGCGGAGAAGGCAGACCGCATTTTGACATAAACAATATTCTGCAGTATTAATACGTTAAGACGAAAGAATTGTGCATAATTACGTAATAAACGAATATGGTGTGCGAAGCTGTTGGCTTGGAAGGGGACTGACCAGACGATGGACGGAGGTCAAGGGGGTTCGATCGGTAGGAGAAACTGAGATGATGTGATGTCGATATTCCAGGAGATATAACTTTGAGGATGACCAATATTCGAGATAGGCACCGTCTTTTTAGAAAAGTCGAGAATCATTTGGAGATCCGAATTGACAGGTTCTATGGGCTACTTTAGATTCCTGAGTAAAATGAAAACCATACATTCGGTTACAAGGTGAGAATGGAAATAATGAAATTCTGAATGTTAAATATTCGATAAAAAGATAGAGGCCTTTCTACGAAGACAAACGACAGTCAGAAACTCAAGACTACAGAATCAATAGGTTTTCCTATTTTTATTTATTACGAGACAGTATCGAGAGTTCTATCCGATCGTACTCTTTACTTTCGAAGGTCAAGTCGTGTTTCGATGTCGATTCAGCTCTGTCAGTCAGCTTCCACGCTCAACAGGGAGAAACCAAGTAGAGGGTGAAGAAAGAACGTAGACAGTTTAACCACCGATTCCCCCCCAAACGTCTATTTGTATATATACCTGCTCGTGATGAAATAAAATTTGATGTACATATTTAATCACACCACGTATCGTTTAAAACACCACTCCCCAGACGAGGATCGAAATAAAATCGCAGAAGCCCCGAACAACCAAAATGATCAGGATTGGAATTACACGTCTCGTGAGAGAGCCCTTGATTGAAATGTCCTTTCCTTGCACTGGTCTTTTTTTCACCCGGTCCAATCGGTTCTGTTTTCTTTTTGGCCAAGGCGTTTCGTTCGACTTTTATCGATTCGATTCGTTAATAATGCACACGTAACCGGGAAAAAAAATGCATCGTCGTGTCGACGGCCATAACGTAGACCCAAGAGAGTTGGGAGCAAGACGATATCCGCGGGGCGGATTTTTAATTGTTCCCGCGGAGGTCGCGCGTATTTGTTAAAGAATTAGCATTTCAAAGAACGATTTAAATTAAGTCGTAATTAATTTTCGCAGAGAACGGCGGCGGGTCGAGCCGTGAATCTCATTACCCAGCCTTACTTTCGGCTTAATTGAAATCGAAGATCTGCCAGGACAAATTGAAGGTGTCAGGGATCACGGGAGGAGTTTATTAAAAATCGGACGGATGTCCCGGTATCCGGTTTCGACAATATGTATAATGAACATGGTATATTAAATATCTTATCATGTTCGGCGGTGAAATTTGTATTTTCAGTACTCTTTAGGGTTTTCAAGTTTTTCCAACTAGAATATTCAACGGAAAAATGTTTTGGACAGCGCTGATTTAAATATCCACTTGCAACAAAGTCGAATTGAATTTAAGAATATAAACTATTATCAATAAATTTAACATACAATTTTATTTGTACAAAATAAAATTGCTTTCCTCGAGAAATGGAAAGTAACGAGAAATCAAAAACACTAAACTATACGTTTGTTGTTCTAGCCGTTAATTAATGCTCATGAAAATTGTCAAAAGCATTCTCGTTCATCCAACATGATCCCGTGCTTCACTTATTCCGCGACAATTTCATCATCGAAAAAGAAACGAAATTCTTCCGCGTCAAGTTTCCTAAAACTCAAACACACAGCAAAGAGTTCAAAGGCGTCGAACTTTGGAATTCTAAAGCCGGAAAATCCGTATATCGTGAAAGAATTAATAAAAAGTCGGACCAGCCCCCGTCCGAAATATTCCACCGTGGATCCTTCCGTCGACTCGAATCGAATTATCGATAAACCACCCCCACCTAATTCACGCCCCCTGTGCAACGCAGGCACGCCAGGTACAAAGGGTCCTTTGAAAGTCCAGGGGCTGCGCAAAACCTGTCTTCGATATTCCCTAGATCGCGACGTGGCAGAGACCGGGCTGGTTATCTTTTCCGTGGGGTCGTGAGGGTGATGAAAAAAAAAAGAAAGAAAAAAACAGAGAGAGAGAGAGAAGGCCGATGGCTGTGCACCGACGGGGCGTGAAAGGATTCGACGTTAACAGCACCAACAACGCCGGCTAGCTAGGAACAATGGATGCTGAACGATTAGGTATTCCAATCGTCGCGTTTAGGGGTCGCTGTGAAGTGCGGCAGAGGGGGTTGGACGAGGCCGGCGGTAAGAGGGTGGCAGAACTCGCCCAATAAAATGGTAATTCCTGTTTGCAGAAGTTAACCATGCGAGCGAGCCTGGAGATTCGAGTCCATGCGTACTCCCTAACTCCAAAGACTAATAATACTTCTGAGAGTGGGGGGAAGGGGATAGGCGAAGCGAGCTGCCAACAGTGATATAGTTGTACGGAAGAGGAGGCCGTGAAAGCGAGTGTCGGTGATCTTGAATCGAGCCGGATAGAATTCGATGCGTGAGAGAAGCACGTGGACACGGGTCTAGGTGTATATGTATGTGCAGGGTACCGGTGTTGGGTCGACGAAATAAAAGGGCAAGTTCGAGAGACCGAAGGAGACCCTTTAGAGTGGACCTTCGAGAGGATCGTATCGCGTGAAACACAGTTGCGATCCGAAGTATTCGATAGCGGGTTTTAGGATATACAACGACGTAACTTGGAAACTGAGTTTCGAATTACAGGACGATATTAGACCCGTGAGCTCAAGATTTACATTTTACTGAATCCGATGTATATGCACTTTCCGTTCGATTGGAATACTGAGTGTTTCCAAAGTGGGGGAGTGAAACTTTCGAAGAAGATTCTACTTGGTCTGTATTTAATAAAAACTTGATATGCGCCCAGATCGACAACTATATTTCAGACTCGGTTGTTTTTAGTTTGCATTCGAGGATGATCTCGAGGACAGTAAATCATCGATGAGTGTTCGAGGGCTCTTCGGTAATGATCGATCCCCAGGTGTAACGCTGATTTTTTTAATGAGGTTTAGCACAGTGATAGAGTTTGGAATTCTGAAACCAATGACATTTGTTTCAGCCGCATATGAACTATAATTTATGAAATATTTAATGTTCAGTGCCGAGGAGCTTTTGAACACTCGTCGAT